AAGTAAATACAAACATAATAAAAAACAAAATCTATCGATGCCTGCGACGCGAATGTGTTCCTCAGGGCGGTGGCTGTCGGTCTCGAGGAGGATTTCTTCGTATCACTGGTTCTGACTCCTCACTATCATCATCATCGTCGTCGTCGTCGTCGTCTTGCACAGGTACATGAGGAGCTGAAGACGATGAAGCACCTCCGTAGAATAAGTACCCTGGAGGTGTATGACTGACTATCCCACCGGCCTGCGAAAACTGGGAAAACTCATAAAACCCATACATCGCTGAGTGTGAAAACTTTACAGGAGGTGGTGTCTGTGCTGCGGCCATGGGTGATGAGGCTGAACCCATCATAAATATGGATATGAACCCAAGTCGGGTCTGCAAACATAGACCCATAATAGCCTCCAGGAGGGGTCATCTGTAACGGTGGCGGTGGCGGGGTCATAAAACCGGGTGAAGGCGGCGGCAGCATCTGGTAATGGAAAGGCAATGGCGGCATCATATATGGTTGCAGCATCATATATGGCTGCGGTGGCTGCTGGGAAGGTCCTGCTGGTGCAACTGAGGATGAACCAGATGCACCTGCTCTCCGTCCACGAGTCAGGGGACGATGGTGCTGTGTCGGTGAACGTCTCTATCGACGTCGTGGAAAGGTTTGCCCTCGTGCATCCTCAGGAAATAGAAACGGTTTCCCATTACTGTTGAACCACTCATAATAATCCTCAGCATACATCAAGATGTCATCAAAAATGGGCTCTCTACGGGGAAGGCGCCGATGTCGATCCTCCCACAACACGACCCACCCATGATGCCTAACCATCCAATCTGTGTCTGTCTTGCCGCGTCTGTCTAAGCTATGCAACTCGTCCATATTGCGAGGTGCTTCTGGAATTGGTTGAAAACAACCAAACTATCGGAGCACGCGATCAGTGGAGTGCCACTCGACGGTTGTATAACAGATCAGAGGGACCATCGCCATCCAAACATCTAATGGACCCCTCAACTCAGGTGGGATCACCGCCCTCACATCATCAGTAGAATATGACACCCATTCAAACTAAAACAAATAATATATAATTTTTATCAAAATAATAATCTAATTATATAATTATAATCTAAAATCGATTTTTAAACATTAAAATTCATACATGTGTGCCAGCCTTCTGATTGATTAACACCCTAATCTTTTCTAAATCATCAGGTAGCTCCTGATGATTTTTCCTATCAGTAGACCACCTATTCAAGGAAATTTTTTTTGTTATACGCTGTATAAAATTATTAATATATAAAATCAGTTTTATAATTACCTCATAAGTAGTGGAAATACGAATGTTCTTCACACGGGACATAAAAAGGGCAATCGATACCATGCCCAAGACTGCAGCAGTAGGAGACATCCGCCGATAGCATTACGCCTGTAGTCAGTGGCTCCACACATCTCCCTGTACAGCAAAGCCAAAACTGCTGAGCCCCAACTGAATGATCCGGCGAGACGAAAGTCGCTGAGATGTCGCAACCACATGCAGTGAACTAGGTTACGCGATTTGTCCGGCATCAGCAACCCTCCTATCAGCTGCAGTATGCATGCTCGTGCATACATCTTAACCTCATCCTCAGAGGCGTCTGCGCTCAACTCCCGAAAATTGGCATCTAACCTATTTAACGGTATCCTACCTCCGATAAAATTTTCCAGGACACGTCCTAGACTATCCCGACACAAAGCAGTCCAAGAACTGGAAGCTATCCCCAATATCACATCTCCATCCACTGGAAGCCCCAGGTGCATAGAAACATCCTCAAGCGTGATCGTGCACTCTCCGCACGGAAGATGGAATGTGTGGGTCTCCGGCCTCCACCGCTCTACTAAGGCAGAAATCAGGTCTGGCTCTATCTTACAGTGACCCTGATATCTACCTATAACCGAATCCAGCTTCTACTAAATATGGCAAGACACGGCTAGGTATCACTAACTTAAGATTCCTAATAAAAGGATCTAATGCACGGTCCTTCTCCTAAAAATAAATAATTACAAAAATTAATTCTTAATCTAATAATCATGCATTAAATGAATCAACTAATTATTACTAATAATTTAAATTAAATTAATACTTTAAAATGTTATCGTATCAGCAAACCACTCGACGGTTGCATAACAGATCAGAGGGACCATCGCCATCCAAACATCTAATGGACCCTCAACTCAGGTGGGATCACCGCCCTCACATCATCAGTAGAATATGACACCCATTCAAACTAAAACAAATAATATATAATTTTTATCAAAATAATAATCTAATTATATAATTATAATCTAAAATCGATTTTTAAACATTAAAATTCATACTGTGTGCCAGCATTCTGATCGATTAACACCCTAATCTTTTCTAAATCATCAGGTTGCTCCTGATGATTTTTCCTATCAGTAGACCACCTATTCAAGGAAAAAAATTTGTTATACGCTGTATAAAATTATTAATATACAAAATCAGTTTTATAATTACCTCAGAAGTAGTGGAAATACGAACGAGTTCTTCACAACGGGACATAAAAGGGCAGTCGATACCATGCCCAAGACTGCAGCAGCAGGAGACATCCGTCGATAGCATTACTCCTGTAGTCAGTGGCTCCACACATCCCTGTACAGCAAAGCCAAAACTGCTAAGCCCCAACTGAATGATCTGGCAAGACGAAAGTCGCTAAGATATCGCAACCACATGCAGTGAACTAGGTTGCGCGATTTGTCTGGCATTAGCAACCCTCCTATCAGCTGCAGTATGCATGCCCGTGCATACATCTTAACCTCATCCTCAGAGGCGTCTGCGCTCAACTCCCGAAAATTGGCATCTAACCAATTTAACGGTATCCTACCTCCGATAAAATTTTCGGGACACGTCCTAGACTATCCCGACACAAAGCAGTCCAAGAACTGGAAGCTATCCCCGATATCACATCTCCATCCACCGGAAGCCCCAGGTGCATAGAAACATCCTCAAGCGTGATCGTGCACTATCCGCACGGAAGATGGAATGTGGGGGTCTCCGGCCTCCACCGCTCTACTAAGGCAGAAATCAGGTCTGGCTCTATCTTACAGTGACCCTGATATTTACCTATGTAACCGAATCCAGCTTCTACTAAATACGGCAAGACACGGCTGGGTATCACTAACTTAAAATTCCTAATAAAAAGATCTAATACACGGTCCTTCTCCTAAAAATAAATAATTACAAAAATTAATTCTTAATCTAATAATCATGCATTAAATGAATCAACTAATTATTACTAATAATTTAAATTAAATTAAAACGTTAAAATGTTATCGTATCAGTAAAGTGTCGAGATATTTAATTCTTAATCTAATAATCATACATTAAATAAATAACTAAATATTACTAATAATTTAAATTAAATTAAAACGTTAAAATGTTATCGTATCAGCAAAGTGTAGAGATATATGATTTCCATCTGAGCGAAGTAGACTATCTTCCATTATATATCTGTAAAAGAATTATATTAGTAAAATATTAAATAAAGTAAAAACATAATAGTAAAAATATATAAAATATACCTTAAAAAGAGAGTTTGAGAGAAATTTAGAGAATTTGAGAAAATTTGGTGTGATAAAAGTGATTGAGGATGGGGGTATTTATAGGAAGGATGGGGGAGGGAAGGGGTCGGTAATTAGGGGTATAGCGCCCCCTGCACCGCGCTATACCCCACGTGTCAGATATACATATATAGCACGCTGCAGGGGCCGCGCTATACCCACGTGACGCCAGCTCACCGTATAGTGCGGTGCAGGGGGCGCGCTATACCCCACGTGACGCCAAATCATCGTATAGCGCGGTGCAGGGGGCGCGCTTTACTGCTAAGGGTGTTAGATCTGGAAATATAGTCTGACCGGTGTTAGATCGATAATATTACCAGTCACCAGTGATATATCGAGAAAATCGTTGTAAAGACTAAGGTATACCCAGTAGAACAGACACGACGATCGAGAAAAACTAACCACAAGACAGAGAAAACCCTAATTCACGGATATGAAAACTTAATAGAAAATAAAATTTATAAAATCGTTAATGTAGAAACACAGACATTGAAAAACAAAGTATAATAGATTCTAGATTTTTCACAATTTAATCTTTGATTAGGACATATAAGTTTTAATAAAAATATAGAGTAAACTATACGTGTGTAGTACATAAACTATTACTTTTATTCTGTTTTGATATTTAAATTTTATTTCTTTCAAAACGTTACTTAACTTTTGGTTTAAGTTTCAAATTATTATCCAACTGTAAAAAAATAGAACTACTAATATGATTTTTTTTTGTTTTTCAATAACTACGGACATTATCTTATGACGAAATGTCAACAACACCGTTAAATTTTTAATAATATGGTATCAAAATGAAACCTAAACTATACATTAAGTATGATTTTAAAAAATAAAATTTATGTATCAAAACAAAACAAAAATAATAATTTATATACTAAATATGTAGTTTACCCAACAATATATTAAGATAACATACAACAAAATGATAACAGAAAAGTATAAACAAGAAAAAAATGAAAATTAGTTTATAATATTAAAATTATTAATAAAAAAAACATGTTATGTTATATAAATGGATGATATGCTGAAATTTTCATGATGTTTGCAGATTTATTACCACGGTTTTTGATTAATTTTTATGATAATGGAATGACGGTATGACGTCTAAAATGGATTTCATTCCGATATTAAGATGCATCAATGACGGTGAACAAAAGGAATGGCGGGGCCGCCTGGGAACAGTGATTCCATCGAGGGCCGGGCCACCATATGAGACATTTATCATATTATTCCATTTCTGTGCGAAACCTTGTACTCTACTAAACATTACATTTTTAAATCCAATCCTTAATCCACAATACAATACAACTTCTTTTTTAGATCCATTTCTACAAATGTCACACTACTTGTAATGAATGGTCTTTTGCCCGTCCCATCATCCATTTGTTTTTGGTTTTCCTGATCTCTCTTGATTTCTTTTCTTCGTTCAAAATCATTTATCTCCACTCTCACGATCACCAATAAAGAGAAAAAACAAGCAAATCTTTCCCGTGAAATGAACCCCGGGCCGGGGGCGGAGAGTTGAGCCAGCAGTTCTTTTCATGAACCCTATTCACTACTACTGTATCTTATCAAACAGAAGCCATCTCTTGAAAGAGATTCTAATTTGTAAGTGATCGACCGACAGAACTCTCCCTTCCGCCTGTCTTCACACTCCGCCACTTGAAAAAATCCTACCAAGATAACCAAAGCAACAACCCTTTGTTTTTTTTCATTTTGGTTTTGTTAATGAATCCTGCTTCTGTAGGAGGTGCTGCGACTGACCCGAATAGCGTCAGCGAGGGTCCATCATCTGGTGTAGTTATAGCTTCATCGACGACGCCCTCGGCTTCACACCAAAGTGGATCTGGTGAGTCGTCTTCTTCCCCGCCTCAACCGAGTCGGTATGAGTCGCAAAAGCGTCGAGACTGGAATACTTTCTTGCAGTACTTGAAGAACCATAAGCCTCCGTTAACACTAGCTCGTTGCAGTGGTGCCAACGTTATTGAGTTCTTGAAATACCTTGACCAGTTTGGTAAAACTAAGGTTCACATAACGGGTTGTCCTTATTTCGGACATCCAAACCCACCTGCTCCTTGTTCTTGCCCACTCAAGCAAGCCTGGGGTAGCCTCGACGCGCTGATCGGACGACTTAGAGCTGCTTATGAAGAAAACGGTGGACGTCCAGAATCAAACCCTTTTGCCGCAAGGGCTGTGAGGATTTATTTGAGGGAAGTGAGAGAAGAACAAGCTAAAGCTAGAGGGATTCCTTACGAGAAGAAGAAGCGAAAAAGGTCTACTGTCACAACTACCGTTGATGTCAATGTGTCGGTGACTGCCGCTCAAGCTTTTGATGGTGGCACGGGTAGCGGTGTAGGAGGAGATGATAGTGCTGGTGGAACTGCGGCTAATGTTGGTACTACCACCGCTGCTGCTGCTTCCACAACTGATGTATAGGTTTTTCCTTTTACTGATTTTATTCTTTTCTTCTCCTTCTAATAGCTGCTTTATATTATGATTATGTGGAATATATCTGGCGGTTCTCTATAAATACTGGATCGGCATCCCATGAACCAAATTTAGTCAAAACTCAAGTTTTTAATCTCTTTCAACCGATCTCACAAATTTTCCCTGTTTGATAAGACTTCTTTAGTTCTTTATCTTCTCTAATTATGCACATCACAACATTACTACAACTGCAACTATTTATAAAAGCGTATATATAAAGGGTGAAGTAAAGCACACAAGAAGTATTGATTTAGTCAAAACTATTTATAAAAGCGTATATATAAAGGGTGAAGTAAAGCACACAAGAAGTATTGATTTAGAAGGTGTAATAGATTGCTTCTTTTTCTAATTTTTTTTTGTATGAGCTGTTTTGATGGGTAGAATTTAGGAAGCTCTTGAAAAAAAAGCCATTTCTCTGTCTATCTTATATTATCTTCTTACTTAACAAGAAGCAAATGTGTTACTTTGTATTCACATCATGTCACCATGGAAATTTGGCTACTTATCATCATTCATATTGGGTTTCTGTTTCTTTCCTTCTTTCGACCTGGTAAGCTCCAATCACATGTATACTTGTGTATGGAATTCATTACAAAGAAGAAACCTATATTTTTTAAAGAAAAAAGTGAAGAAAGTGCCACCAATTTCCTTTGGGTTCATTGTTCTTCCTTGCCATTATGGCCATACATTACACAATGTAGAATGAATCATCTATTAAACCTTGCACAGTTGCATATCTTATATTTTTAACAAGAAAAGAGAGTCTTGGCCGTGGGCATCTTTTTATTGTTTGCTTGTAAGTGTACATGTGTAGGGTTAAGATTTGTAACTAGGTTAGAAGAAGATGGTCGTCGGTAACACTTAAAACACTCACTTGTTGGCCAAATCTTTTGCTACAACAAGATTTCTGGTTCAGCTGGGCTCCCAGCTCAAAGGGAAAATCTAATTGCTGTTGTAAATTTGATATATAAAGCACACGTGCCCCTCACTGAAATTATACAGCTTTGCAGTCGTTTGCACTTTTATGTTTCAGTGTCAGGTACTCTCCTTTATATCTTTGATGTAAGATTTTGTTCCCAGATTTTAATATTTTGTTTGAATTTAAGTTTTGGATGGATCTCATCCTCTCTCTTTTTTTACTTGTTTTTTTCTCCGATCGTCTCTTTGATCTCTCTGTCCGATACCTATGAAACAACAACAGCAAAGGATATATGGCTGAAAGCATCAATGAATATTAAAAATAATCCTAGTGATTGCTGCTGATGCTCAGTGCGAAAGGACCTGTGGCCAACCCTTTTCTTTCTTTCTTTCTTTCTTTCTTTCTTCCATTCTATCGCATTGCATAACAATATATTATCTTATCAATAATTATATCTGATATCACACCCAATTTGTATAATATTCTGTTTATATAATAACCTAGTTCGTTTCTACATTCCATCCTATCCAATTTGATCATTACTTCATTTATTTCTCTTTTCTCCTCAGCATATCTATTTTCAATTGATTATGGCGTTGATTTTTTTTGGCTCTTTTCTTCATTTTGTATAGAATATATCTCATTCTTTTTTCCATATTAATATTAGTTGTATCAACTTAATTTGAGTTATGGATTTCACATATAAAGTCGAAAAGGAAGCCGATAGAACCCTTTTGTCTTTAAATCTAATCATCCCTCTTTCTTTTCTTCTCTTGCCTTTCCTTTTGTTGACGAGACTTGTCACCGTGTATATATTGGTTCGGTCATCCTTTGAGGGATTTTCATAGTTGTATCTCGTAGGGGGGCCACTGCCCCGACGGTACTCGCTTTAGTTTTAAGAGAGAAATGGGAGAGAGAAAGTAGGTGGGCCGTGGGGTTGTGTAGAGGCACCTGCCTCGACTAGTCTTGTCTAGCACCGCCGGCAAGTGTATTATTGAGGTATGGATTGAAAGGAATATATAGTTTTATTTATTTTATATCTCACAATTTGCGTCCAAAGAATAAACCATGCCCTGTTTTATACGCACTGAATTGAACGGACAACGCCTTAACACGTTGCGGGTAATTCACTAAATAATTTTTTACGTGAACTTGGCAATTCCATGATCAGGATTTTGTTGTCAGACCGAACTTTAGAAGGCCCTACGAACCCTTTCTGCCCTTTTCGGTTTGCAGTGAGATGGTCTTCAGTTCATCTTCCTGAGGAGAACGTCATCATATCATCTCTGTAGCATTTGTATGCAGTTGAAAAGCCCATGGTTTGACAGCGATAATCTTCGTGTTCCAGTTAAGCAACTTTGTGGAGTTCCATACATGGTGACATTGGCATGCTTTAAAGGGAAATCTTGTAAGAAATCAAAGGGAGCAACAAAGGCATGAACAACCATGGCTTCATGTGCCACCGGATCAAAATTACTGGGCACTTGTTCGGAGCCATGGAGCAACCTTGGAATATGCATTAATCAATTAGCCTAGTTAAATAGCATTGACGATTTCAATATGGTACCAAATTCAACCAGCCTAGTTTAATGGTATTGTGTTGATAGGGGAATACCTTGTAATAGCGTACAGAGTGGGAAAGCGATTAGTGGTTAATACAGTAGAATATTAGGCTAAACAGTAGGAGGATTTTTTAAACCGCAAATTGGAGTAGATGGCTGGTCCCAGGTGCTCTGATTCTCGATTTTTTAAGATATTTAAATTTATGAATAAACTTAGATGAGCCATTGGGAATGGAGTTTGTTTGAAATGAAAATTATTGGTGCAGTCATAAAAAAGAACGAGTGATGAGTCATATGCATATATTAAATGTGTAAATAAATAAATCAGAGTAGATGTGACGGCGTTGTGTGGATGATAAATGTATAGGATCCAAAGAAATTTGTCTGCACGCGTTTGAATGGCCTCTTGTAGTTCCTCTGAAATCAAATATTAGTAATTACTGTACAGGTTTTGTGACCGACCACTCCATTGCACATATTCTTCGTTTATTTTGTCTTTTCCTCTTACTCTCGTGAAAGTTTAAATTATTTTGATAGTATACTTAACGCAAGTTTGACGGTTTTATTACTTATATATTGTTTTTAATTACTTACGAAAAATATTTATAACTTTTTTTTATTAAAAATCATCTTTCAAAAAAAATACAAAATATCATTAAAAAATGAGTTACTTGCGTCATATGTCCCCATACTATGATTTTCATTCTAAATAGTTCCTAAACCTTTGAATACTCTAATTTCATCCTCAAGCTATGATATTCATTTTAAATAAGTCCTTAAACTTTTAAACAATCCAATTTCATCCTTAAACTATGACCCTCATTCTAAATTGGTCCCCAAACTTTTAAATCTTCTAATTTCATCCCAAATTCATCCAAATATGTAATTAGTTTTAAACATAGTTTAACCTAAACTTTATTTTTTTTTCAAACATATAATAACATAGTTTGTCTAACAATTTTATTAACATGGAACGTGATTAGTATATACACGTAATTTGGGATAAATTGAAATGTTGATAAAGTTTGAGGATCAATTTAGAATGAAGGATATGGTTTGGGGATTAAAATAAAATGTTAAAAAGTTTGAGGACAAATTTAGAATGATGATATAATTTAGGGATGAAATTTGAACATTTAGAAGTTTAAGGGTCAATTTAGAAACAAGATCATAGTTTGAGGACATACAATGGAATTAACTCTTAAAAATACATCAAATACAGTATTACATATATGACACCAAAAGCTTAAAAAAGTGGATTGAGAGGGGTTTTGTTTATGTGGTGGAATTATATACTTAAAATTTGAATTTTATATTTATTTTTGAGTATTTTTAAATAATTTTGTAATATATATTTTCTGATGATTAAAAATAAAATTTATAAATATATGCGTTATTGTTTAACTTGAATTGTGCTTGTGTTAATATGCCATGTGTAGTGTGTATTTCATTCTATTGAAAAACATTTATTTAATTTTCTCTTAATTTTTTTTATTTTGATCCTTCGAACTATGCAAACAAAATAAACCTTATCAAATGTACTTTTTTTTAAAAAGAAATGCAATTAACGTGGCATAATTGGATGATTTAAATTTTAATAAATAATCTTCTAAAAGTGTTATTTTTATAAATAAGAAATAGTATATATGATTAATGAAGCCAAATTTGACAAAGAAGTGGAATGAAAATAAAGACAAGGTTCAATGCTCAAATTGGTTTTTGAGTTTGACAAATTTTATTAAATTAACCTTTATTTTTTTTTAATTTATTAATACATAGTAAGTACCATATAGTATTTGTTACAAAATAACTCAAAAATATTATTAAGTATTAAATGCTCGTACTCTTGGCATTTTTGGTGTTTGAACCCAAAATCTTAAGAAATAACAACAATTCTTTTACCATCGAGGTCATTAAGGATCATACACCTTTAAATTTTTATTAGTTAACCTGTCTTTTAAATTTGATAATTTTTTTATCAATTTAACTTTTAAAATTTTAATTATAATTAACTTTAATATTTATTTAATAAGAAACAATTAACATGTTTAGTTTAATACATTTTATTTAATAAAAATTATCCTTCTCAGATTATTTTTAATGAAAATATAAATACTATTAAACTTTTAAATTTTAATAAAAAATAAATTAAAAAATTATTTTTTAAAAACTTAACTAGGAGTACACAGTGATGATTTTTCAATTTAAAAATTGATTAGTTGTAATCAATAAGTAGTTGGTTTAGTGGAATGAGACACTAATTCCCTTAAGCAATGTAAGAGAATCAATTTCTGACGTTTACAAATGGAGTAAGCTGGGTTAAGAAGATTGTCTTTACCTTTGCAGTACCGATATTGGTAGTTATAAAAATAAAATGATCTAGTTGTGGAGTCAATTTAACAGAAAATTTAAAGTTCAAAAGTTATTTAGATAAAAAAAATGCTTTAAAATCATTCTATCACAGAGAATATTAAGTTTAAAAGCCAAATTGATAAAATTTATAAAGTTGGTGTTTAAATTTGTATAATTAGTAAAATAGATAAAAGGAGAAATTTTGAT